TAAGTTTATCATATGAATTACAAATCAAACTTAAATAATTAGCTTACGTACCCGAGACTAAATCATTAATTTCATCGCTAAACCCAACCCAATCCTTACCCTAAACCTAACCTAGAGCTAATCAAGGACTTTTGTTCAGTAATTCTGTATTTTTTTTCCGCAAACGGACATTTTGACTTCCACTATTTACACGGCATCCGGGCATGTAAGTTGAGACAGACACTTCGAACTTTATGTCGCCTTTGTTAATTTACATGTAACTTAAGCTGAAGCTTTTCCTTTTATAAATTTCGATGTCTCTCTGCACTAATAAGCTTATATTTTTATCAATAAACTTTAATCCGCTTAACAGTGATTGGAAGAAAAGCACTGGAATAATTCTGCAAAACTGCAAATCAAGAGCATAAAGAATAATCAAAAGAACAATGTGGATTTCATATTTCAACAAAGGAGCTCAAAACAAAGTTATGATATACCAGTTCACTTGTTCTTGCAATACATGAAGGCATGAGCTACTCAAATTTTTCACTAATAACTTATCTTGTTAGTTAATACTATTTTTTTAATCCAATTTAAATGTTAAATTGCATTTTTCCCAATATTGTTCTGATCTTATTGTTCTGATTTTTTATGATCACCTACTGTATTTACATGTTTTTGTAAATAACTTATCTAATGTGTTAATAAAATGCTCAAAATACAGCTGACCATCTTGCAAAAGCAGCTCTTACAATCTTGGCAGCTTGATTAATTAATATTGCTTTATTGGAAACTAATTTGCAAATCAGATATTCGTATTTTAACGAAAGAACATTAACAGTGTATATACATATGAATNCACATCTTTGTTGCTGGTTTCATTAAAAAGGAGAGACCTCCCCCTTAGTTCAGATTTTATTTGATCTTTGGACAGACCCTCAAAAGGCTTTGGCTTCTTATTCAAAGATCTTGCTCTCCCTTCTGGTCCTTTGAGGACAACCTTCTGGCGGTCAGCTATTGAGACATAGGGACATCTGAARAAGTTTTSTGGCTCATTACTCATAGTAAAATGCATGCCACAGCCAGAGCAAAAGTAGTGACCACCCTTTTGTTGACCAACTTCMAATGCGACGGCTGGCCCATCACCTTTGAAAAATCTCATCYCATCACTRATCTGGACACCATTGTTGAATTCTAATTTGCTATCTAGGTTTTGYAGACACTCACATCTGGTTTCGGTGTATGCTAATTGTTCAGTATCAGTTCCACCACAACGTGCAATGATATACACTTCAGGCTTTTCAACTTCAGTTTGTATATCAACTGTAAATCCTGTTAATTCCTGGTATGCTCTGTTTGTTAAGTAAAGAGCAGGATCATAAATTGCTGCTACCATAAAAACAAGATGGCCATGATTTGCAATGGTAGAATGATCATGCCATGTTTTGCTCCCACAAGCCTATCAGCCAATTAGTTGAATATTAACTTGATTGTAACCACGCACGTGGATTTAACGGACATTAAAAAGTGATCAGATTTCAGTTCTGGTCGCACGTCGAATAACGAGGACT